AGGTGCCCCCTGCCCCCGTATATAAAGGAGCAAGGGGGGTGCGGCCGACCCTAGGAGGAGGCGCGCCGGAGGAGTCCTACTCCTACCGGGAGTAGGACTCCCCCCTTTCCCTAGTTGGATTAGGACTTGGGGGGAAGGAGGAGAGAGGGAAAGGAAAGCGGGGCGCCGCCCCCTTCCTTGTCCAATTCGGACTTGGGGGGGGGGAGGGGCGCGCGGCAGCCCCTAGGCCTTCTTTCCTCTTCCTCCACTAGGCCCATTAATGCCCATTAGGTTACCTAGGGGTTCCGGTAACCTCCCGGTACTCCGGTAAAGATGCCGATTTCACCTGAAACACTTCCGATGTCCAAACATAGGCTTCCAATATATCAATCTTCATGTCTCGACCATTTCGAGACTCCTCGTCATGTCCGTGATCACATCCGTGACTCCGAACAACCTTCGGTACATCAAAATATATAAAGTCATAATGAAACTGTCATCATAACGTTAAGCGTGCGGACCCTACGGGTTTGACAACAATGTAGACATGACCGAGACACGTCTCCGGTCAATAACCAATAGCGGAACCTGGATGCTCATATTGGATCCTACATATTCTACGAAGATCTTTATCGGTCTGACCGCATAACAACATACCTTGTTCCCTTTGTCATCGGTATGTTACTTGCCCGAGATTCGATCGTCGGTATCTCAATACCTAGTTCAATCTCGTTACCGGCAAGTCTCTTTACTCGTTCTGTAATACATCATCTTGCAACTAACTCATTAGTTGCAATGCTTGCAAGGCTTAAGTGATGTGCATTACCGACAGGGCCCAGAGATACCTCTCCGACAATCGGAGTGACAAATCCTAATCTCGAAATACGCCAACACAACATGTACCTTTGGAGACACCTGTATAGCACCTTTATAATCACCCAGTTACGTTGTGACGTTTGGTAGCACACAAAGTGTTCCTCCGGCAAACGGGAGTTGCATAATCTCATAGTCATAGGAACATGTATAAGTCATGAAGAAAGCAATAGCAACATACTAAATGATCGGGTGCTAAGTTAATGGAATGGGTCATGTCAATCACATCATTCTCTTAATGATGTGATCCTGTTAATCAAATGACAACACATGTCTATGGTTAGAAAACATAACCATCTTCCATCAACGAGCTAGTCAAGTAGAGGCATACTAGTGACGTTTAGTTTGTCTATGTATTCACACAAGTATTATGTTTCCGGTTAATACAATTCTAGCATGAATAATAAAAATTTATCATGATATAAGGAAATAAATAATAACTTTATTATTGCCTCTAGGGCATATTTCCTTCAGCCATGTCATGGCACCAAGCCTAGTTTCATTATTTTCATGCGTGTTTTGGATTTACAGGAATTAAAAAACTAAGTTTCTCAATGTTTCCAACCCAGCCACGACGCCCAGAATTTTGAATTTCATTCCCATTTCTTGCATGTAACCTAGAAATTTACCCGAGGACACACATGTCATTTTTCAACCAACTTTGGTGCACTGGAACATGTGCTTGTATTTAAAATTTGAATTATGCACACAAAGGTGACACGTTCCCTCCCAGAACCACGAGCCTTCTTGAGAGAAGCTCCGATTTGCAAGAAGCTTATACCAAGATTTGTTCCTATTCGGCCAATTTTTTTTACCACGGCATGGTACTACCATCACATGACACCATGCCAAGTTTCATGATTTTTCTATACTCCTATATAGTGTACGAGTATTGAGGGATATAGACCGTTGGATCTTTGTAATCCGACGGCTCACACTCGATTGATTTAGACAGACAACTACGTGAACAGTTATACACCGTCGGATAGAATAATCTGACGGCTGATGGTGCTGGGATTCGTGTGCGGCACACCCTTTGCTGCCCAGACTGCCACTGTGACAAAGAGTACATGAAGGTTCAAGATTCTCCCGCTGGCCACTGCCACCTAGAAATCACTGGTAGGCTCCATAAGAGAGTGCTTTTCTGCCACGGCGCGTGCGCGACGGGACGTCGCCGCAGGCCCGGGCCCGCCACTCCTGGCCTCGGCCCAGGCGCGGATCTTCTGCGGCCCAGGGTGGACCATTGGCCTTCCCGCGGCGGTTTCGCCACGCCGTCATGGCGCAGTTATGGCGGGACGTGGGGGAGTGGGCGCAGTTAATCCCACGTCCCCCGCTCCACGCCTCCTCGGCTCCGCCGGCAGGGCTATAAGTAGGGGGGGAGAGGGAGCAGCAAGGGCTCGCTCGCTCTCCCTCGCTCCACCCTTCTCTTCCTCCGTCTTCATCTTCTCCGCCGCCGCAGCGCCTCACCGCAACGCCACTTCACCGTCGCCGTGCCTTGCTCCTCGCCGCGCCGTCCCCATGGCGTTGTCAAGCTCGTGGGATGGCTCCAACGTTCTCGACGAGCACATCGAGTTCCTCCGCCGGACGCGGCGTCTGCCCGGCGAGAACTACGTGCGGGTCCGGCGCGCGCCGGAGAAGGAGATCTCGCCGGTGCCGGAGGAGGGCGAGCGGGTTGTCTTCCGCTCGCACTTCCTGTGTGGCTTCGGCATCCCGATGAGCGGGTTCCTCCGTTCCTTCCTCGAATTCTACCACCTCCAGCCGCATCACCTCACCCCCAACCTCGTGATGCTGCTGTCGGCCTTCGTCACCGTCTGCGAGGGTTTCCTTGGCGTCCTCCCCACACTGGAGCTGTGGGGGGAATTCTTTCAAAGCAAGCTCGGCACCGTCGTCGCGGGCGTGCCTGCGCCATGCAGAGCCTATGTCGCCATGAGGCAGACGAGCGAGAACAATCCGTTCCCGTCCATCCCGCTGATCCAGTCGGTGAAGCTTTGGCAAAAATCCTACTTCTATGTGAAGAACGTCGCCCCGCAAGGCGATTTTGTCAACTTGCCGGCTTACATAGCCGGCTCGCCGGCTTCAAGGCCGGCCTCATGGAGCTTCCGGGTCAAGACGCTGTCTCAGGCTGGGAACGCCGCCGTCGCCCGACTCCGGGTGATGACGCAGTCGGAGGGCCTGGTCGGATCCGACCTTGTAGCCGCTTTCGTGGAGCGCCGGATTCTCCCGCTCCAAGGTCGGCCGCACATGATCTGTCAAATGAGCGACCGCTTCGACCCGTGCCGGCTGAGCACCAGGGAGATGCCTCATGCCGAGGTGTCTTACATGGTGAACTACATCGCCAACTGCAAGATCCCCGAGGACCGGCGGTACGGCAAGAGGCCTTATTCTCGCGCCAACCCTCCGCCTGCCGTAAGCCCTTTTTCTTCTTTCTCTTTCCTTTCTTTCGGCCCTTTTCTTTTCGCAGTTGGCCTCATGGTAGCCGGCTTCTGATCAGCCAGCTTGTCTTCCGCAGAATCCCTTCTTCCGCCGGGGGCCGGGGTCGCAGGGGCGGAGCGCCGGTTCCTCCCCGACCGCACGATGGATGACGTCGATGACCCGGATCTGGGAGCGGCCGCCATTGAAGATGCCGCTGTTGGGGAAGGCGGCGAGGCGGGCGGCGCGGGGCTCGGAGCCGGCCTTGAGGACTGGGCGGACGACGACGAAGTCGAAGTCGTCCCGCACCACCAGCCGGCGCCAGACCGTCAAGGCGCGGGGCCGTCAGCCGCGCCGGGCGCCCGAGGCGGCGAACCGAAGTGCCGAGCCGCGTCGACTTACTTCGGCAGCCGGCAAAAGAAACCCAGGGGCGCCGCCGCGGCGACCAAGCGGGATGAGGCGGCCGCGAAGGCGGCCCGCTTCCAGAAGGTCGTAAAGCGGCCGCAGGCGGTCTCGGCGTAAGTGTTTAAGCTTCTCGCACTCTTGATGTGCTCTTTAATCGAAGTTCTTCATAAATTCTTTCTTGACCGCTTGGCCAGGGCGCCGCTTTCCCTCGAGCAGGGTCCCGCCGGCTCCGTGATCGGATCGGCCGGAGGGTCTTCAAGCTCCCGCCGCGTGGATCCCCGCGCCGACCTCAGGGAGGCCACGGAGCGGAACGCGCGGGAAGTGCGGGAGGAGCAGGAGGCGTCGGAGCGAAGGGCCGCCCAGGCGGCGAAGGAGCAGGCCGACGCGGCGGCCAAAGCCCAGGCGGAGGCGGCGGCCGCGGAGAGGGAGGCGGAGGCCTCGCACAACCGGCCTCCCCAGCTCGTCATTCCCCTCCGCAGCGTGGCTCCCGACGCCCCTGTGCCTCCGCAAGAGGAAGCCGATCGCGGCCGGTCGGAGGCGGATCGGACGGATGATGATGTGATCGTCTTGGAGGAGGTGCCGCAGACGGTGCCGACTGGGGCGGGTCAGGGCAGCCAGACGGCTACAGCGCCGGAGCAGCCGGCGGGGAGCGAGCCGGCGGCAAGAGCCGGCTTGGAGGTGCAGCCGGCACCACGCTGGCGCGCGGAGGGAACTACCCCCGCGCCGGAGCCAGACAGAGCCGCGAGCGCCAGCCGGACGGCGGAGGCTTTGGAGGCGGCCAGTTCCAACACGTCCGAGTGGGAGCCCGACGAGGAGACGGGCGAGCTGAGCGCGTTGGCCCAGGAGGTTCGGAGCCGGCTTCAGGCTCATGCCACCGTGCTGCAGCGATATACTCGCGATTTCCTTACGACGCGGGCCGTCGTTCGGGTGAGTCTTCTGGCCTTGGTCGCTTTGCTTCTTTGTCTTTTTGATCTCTTCCATGGGGGCGCGTTAGCGCACCCACTGGGTGTAGTTCCCGAGTTTCGAGTCAGCTGCTGAGCAGGCGGCTTGGAACTTACTAGGTTCTGACAGTTATCTTATTCCTGCCTCCTGTCTGATCTTCCAGGAGTACCACAACCGGAGCGCTGCCGCCTTCGACTCCCAGGCTCAGGAGCTGCGTCAGAAGAGCGAGGATTTGACCAACAGCCGGCGTGCATGTTCTATTTTGTTCATCTCCTGTGGGGGCGCGTCAGCGCATGCACTGGGTATAGTCCCCGAGATCTGGGCCGACTGCTGAGCAGTCGGGTTGGATCTTCCCCGACGACTTCTTTCTTATTGTTTCTTCTTTTGTCTTCATGCTTGCAGGGGCCAACGCCGACTTGAGGGAGCAGCTCGGCGGGGCCCAGACCGCCCTTCGTGCCAAGGAGGCCGAGCTTAACGCCTTGATCCAGGAGCACGACCGCCTGGCCAAAAAGTTGGCCGACCAGGAGGAGAGCCACAAGGCGGCCCTGAAGGAGGCGCGAGATAGCGAGGCCACCCTCAAAGCCGAATTCGAGACTGAGACGGGGTGCTGGGCTGAGGCGAAGCAAGCGCTGAGCGAGGGTTACGGCCGGATCGAAGATCTGATCGACGGTGAGCCGCCTTCCTCACTCCTCACTCGCCTCTTGCCCTTTGGTTCATCTTCTGATTTGTGCTGCTTCTTTGTTTTTCGCGCAGACTACTTCCCCGGCCACTCCGTCATGGCCACCTAGACCATCGAGGCCCACCGCGAAGCACGCCGACAGGCGGGAGTTGAGATCGCGCCAGACGCGAACCGGACACTTGAGGAGCAGCTCTTGGCGATCCAAGCCCGGCTGCAGCCGGCGCACTGCATGCTTCGCCGCCTCCAACGCGCCGGAGCGCAGGTGCTGGCCGCCCTCTGGCCAGGCGAGGTGATTCCCCGCACCCCGAGCCGGACTGCCGACTGGCTGGAGGTGGCAGTTGGCCGCTTTGAGGCCTAGAAGGCCTCCGCTGCTCGATCTGGCGCCAGGCGGGCGCAGGAGTTCGTCCGAGCCTGGTACCCCGGGCTGAACTTGGAGTAGCTGAGGACTTGGCAGGAGGAGGCTGACGAGGAGCTGGTGGAGGTGCGGCCGGCTATCATCCGGCGTGCTTCGGCTCTTGCCGACTTTACCGACACCAGCGTCTTCGCTCCTGAGGTGGACGACAACGGCGTCGCCCAGCCGGAGGAGTGGTTCGGGCTGAACCCGGCGGAGGGCGAAGACTCGCCGGAGGAGATCGCCTCTAGCGACGAAGGTGAAGACGAAGAAGGGGAGGAGGGCGAAGACGTCGAGCCGGCCGGTGAAGCAACCAGCCAGCCTCAGCATGACCGTGCCTCCAGCAACGAGGCGCGTGCTAGCGCGCCCTCTGCGGGAGGCGTTGATCATGCCGAGGTTCACCAGCCGGCCACTCCTCCAGCCGGCGCTACCGTCTCAGCCGGCCTGCCCGACACGCCAGTCGTTCCCTTGGCTTGATCTGCCGTCTTTGTTTTTCCTGCTTGTTACTCTTTGAACAATGTTTATTAAGCTTGCGCAGTTCCACCCACTGGGGGTGTATTCAAACTATGTTGAATGTTGGCCTTTTCGAGGCCTTTTGTGTAAATATAATCATGCATGTGCTTGGCTTCCATTCTCGTATGCTTTTTATCCTTAGGCTGTTTCCTTTGCCGCCTTCCCCTGATTGCTGCCTTCCCAGCCGGCAGCTGCTCTGTAGTCTGTGGCTAAGGAAGGACTCGGCTATCTTGTTGGGGAAGGCAAGTACTCGAGCTTTATTACATTGTAGCGAAGTGAGTGGAAGCCGGCCGGCCGGCTACTCTTGTAATCGGTCGGCGGTAGGTAAAAAGCCGGCTTTCGTTATATTAGTCCGTCGGTCCCTAGCCGTTTTTCGTGTGGGCGTCCTTTCCTGCCTTTGGCTCTTGCCAGCCGGACAGCCGGTTCTTCGTACTGTGGTTTTTGGCAAGAGAGGGCTTAGGTGCTGACACACTACTTGTTTGACCGCGGGTAAGACTTCTAATATAATCTCAAGGCGGCCGATCCCCGGGCTGACTAGTCGAATTCGGTGCCGGACGAAAGAAGCGAATAGAATGACATAATCATAAGCATCCTACTTTTCATTCATAGATAAAAGATGGCAGTCCCCGAGTTCTACTCGGGGGCCCATTGTCTCGTACTTAGTACAGAAGTTAGCCTGGTACATACTGCATTTCAACTGTAAAATCTTCGGAGGAGGTTGGCGTTCCATGGTCGTTCCGACTCCTTGCCGGAGTCGTCTCTCTTCCGTGCCTTCGGCTTCTGTGCGTTGATCAGGTAGTAGGAGTCATTTCCTAGCGCTCTGCTGATGATGAAGGGGCCTTCCCAGGGGGCTGAGAGCTTGTGCTGGCCGACTGTTCGCTGGATCAGCCGGAGCACAAGGTCGCCCTCTTGAAAGGATCTTGGCTTGACCTTCTGGCTGTGGTAGTGACGCAGGCCCTACTGGTAGATAGCGGACCGGCTGAGGGCTAACAGCTGGCTTTCTTCCAGCAGGTCAATGCCGTCTTCTCGTGCTTCCTTGGCTTCCGCCTCCGTGTACATGGTCACCCGAGGTGAGTCGAACTCGATGTCGGTTGGGATGATCGCCTCGGCACCATACACGAGGAAGAAAGGAGTGAAGCCGGTTGACCTGTTTGGGGTAGTGCGCAGACTCCAGAGGATGGCCGGCAGCTCATCGAGCCAGCAGCCGGCCGAACGCTCTAGTGGCACGACCAGTCGAGGCTTGATGCCGGAAAGGATGAGGCCGTTGGCTCGCTCGACTTGGCCGTTCGACTACGGATGGGCAACGGACGTTAAGTCTAGTCGGATGCCCTGTGTCGCGTAGAAACGTGCCAATGCTCCCTTGGCGAAGTTCGTGCCGTTGTCGGTGATGATACTGTGCGACACGTCATACCGTGTTGTTATATCTGCGATGAATGTCACGGCAGTCGGCCCATTCAGCTTCTTGATCGGCTTTGCTTTGATCCACTTGGTAAACTTGTCCACAACGACAAGCAGATGTGTCATGCCGCCGCGCGCCATCTTGAATGGGCCCACCATGTCCAGACCCCAAACGGCAAAGGGCCAAGTGAGGGGAATGGTCTTGAGTGCCGAAGCCAGCAAGTGTTGCTTGGAGCTGAAGACTTGGCAACCTTTGCAATGCTTGACTAATTCCTTGGCGTCGTCCAATGCAGTCGGCCAAAAGAATCCATGGCGGAAAGCTTTGGTGACGAGTGATCTTGAGGCCGCATGGTGGCCGCATTCACCTTGGTGGATGTCACTGAGGATTGCTATGCCCTTTTCTTTCTCGACGCATCGCTGGAAGACTCCAGTGACGCTGCGCTTGACGAGCTCTCTGTTGATGATTGTGTATGCTCCAGCTCGGCGTTGGACTTGTCTTGCTTCTGTCTCGTCAGCCGGTAGGTCTTGGTTTATCAGGAAATTGAGGATGGGCTGGGCCCATGACGGAGCTGTGACTTCTTCTATTGCCAACGCGGCTACTGTGACCAGGGTGGGCGGGCTGGGTGTTAAAATGCTGGAGTCGGCCGCCACCTGTTGTGTTGGTGCAGTCCCCGGGCCGACTACCGCAGTCCACGAGCCGGGTTCGGAAGTCCCCGGGTCAGGTGCGACTACGGAAGTCCCCGAGCCGCCTGCTGAAGTCCCCGCGCCGCCTATCGAAGTCCCCGGGCCGCCCGCTTGGCTCTTCAAGCCGGATCCGGTTGCATCTGGGCTAGGCGGCACGAAGATGGAATCGGACTCCGGAGATGGCTTGATAGATGGCTTGAGGAGGCGTTGCAGAGAGACGCCGGTTGGTATTGCTTGCCGGGTGGAGCCTAATCGGGCCAGGGCATCTGCTAGTCCGTTGTCGGCTCGTGGTACGTGGAGGAACTCGCATCCTTCAAAGTACCCATTGATCTGCTGTACGAGGAAGTGGTAGCTCGCCATGTTTGCATCCTTGGCGTCCCAATCGCCAGTTGACTGCTGAACTATCAAGTTTGGGTCGCCGTAACACAGGATCCGGCGTATGCCAAGTTCCTTGGCAAGCCGGAGCCCGTGTACGAGCGCCTCATACTCGGCCACATTGTTGGAGGCGGCAAAGTGAATTTGCAGCGTGTATCTGAGCTTGTCGCCTTCGGGAGAGGTGAGGATGACGCCGGCTCCCAAGCCGGTGAGCATTTTGGACCCGTCAAAGTGCAGGCGCCAGTGCGTGGAGTCCAGAGCCGGCGGCAGGTACTGGGTCTCGGCCCAATCGACGAGGAAGTTGGCCAATGCTTGGGACTTGATGGCGGTGCGGGGCTGGTAGAAGATCGTGTAAGGGTCCAGCTCGATGGCCCATTTCTCCACCCGGCCGGATTCATCCCGGCTACCTATGATCTCGGCAAGCGGGGCGGTGCATACGACCGTGATGGGGTGCTCTTGGAAGTAGGGCTTCAGCTTCTTGGCGGCAAAGTACACGCCGTAGCACATCTTCTGGTAGTGCGGGTAGTTCTGCTTCAAGGTAGACAGTTCCTCGCTCAAATAGTACACCGGCCTCTGGACCGGCTGGGCTCGGCCCTCTTCTGGGCGCTGGACTACGATGACGGTGCTGACCACCCGCCTGGTTGCAGTGATGTAAAGGAGCATGGGCTCTTTCTCAGTCGGCGCCGCCAGGACAGGCGGCGTGGTCAGCATCTTCTTCAGCTCGTGAAAAGCTTGGTCGGCTTGGTCGTTCCACTCGAAGTGAGTGGTCTTCTTCATGAGGCGGTAGAGGGGGAGAGCCTTCTCTCCGAGCCGGCTGATGAAGCGGTTCAGGGAAGCCAAGCATCCGGTGAACTTCTGGACATCTCGCAGTTTGGTGGGAATCACCATTCTCTCAATGGCCTTGATCTTCACTGGGTTGCATTCAATGCCGCGTTCGGAGACCAGGAAGCCTAGAAGCTGGCCGGCTGGCACTCCGAACACGCACTTCTCGGGGTTGAGCTTGATCTGGAATCGGCGCAGATTCTCGAATGTTTCCTTGAGGTCTTCCAGCAAGGTGTTGCGCTTCTCCGTCTTCACCACAATGTCGTCCACGTAGACGTGGGCATTTCTGCCGAGCTGCTTGAGGAGGCACTTCTGCATGCAACGCTGAAAGGTGGCACCGGCATTTCTCAAGCCGAATGTCATGGTCAGGTAGCATAAGGCTCCGAAGGGTGTGATGAAGGCGGTCTTCAGGCGGTCGGCCGGATCCAACTTTATCTGATGGTACCCAGAATAAGCATCGAAGAAACTCAACAGCTCGCATCCGGCTGTGGAGTCTATCACTTGATCTATCCTTGGCAGGGCGAAAGGATCTTTGGGGCAGGCTTTGTTGAGGCTCGTGTAGTCTATACACATGCGCCACTTGTTGTTCTTCTTCAGCACGAGGACCGGGTTGGCAAGCCACTCTGGAAAGAAGACCTCCATAATGAAGCCGGCGGCTAGAAGCCGGGCTATCTCTTCTCCCACAATCCTTCTCTTTTCCTCCGACAGTCGGCGGAGGGGTTGTTTGACAGGCTTTGCACCTTCTCGAACATGTAGTTTGTGCTCGGAGAAATCCTTCGGAACACCCGGCATGTCCTTGGGAGACCATGCGAAGATGTCCCGATTCTCACGGAGGAAATCGGCGAGCTCGCCTTCCTATTTGCTGTTCAGGTTTGCCCCAATGACGGCAAACCTCTCTGGGTGCTCGGGGTCGAGAGGTATCTTCT